GTTTTCGAGCAGCTGCCGGGGTCCAGTTCCTCAGCTCTAGGTGGATCCTCTTCTTCATGTCCATGTTCCCCTCACCCCTGTCTCTTCAAACTTAACTTTCTGCAGCGGGGGTGGAGGGGAGAGAGGTGTCAAGGCCTGCACGGGGAGGGCAGTTGGAAGGGGTCTGCTGGTGGCAGCGGTGGCCTGTGTGTGGATTGTGAAACGAGTAGCGAGCCCCGGAGCCAAATTACTCGCGGGAGCGGGGAGAAACCATGGAGGGAAAACTTCAATAAATCTTTATTAATTATCAGTGTTTTTTAAAAAACAAATAATAAATTTGATATGGGCTGTACTTGGATAGACAATGTAGAGAGCAGTTTTTCTCAACTGGGGAAGATTTTTGTTTCTGGGGGGAAAATTGGCAATGTATAGAGACATCTTTGATTGTTACAACTAATGAGGGTGGAGGTGTCTATTAACATCTAATAGCTAGAGACCCGGGGTGTGGCAAAACATCCCAGAGAACACCAGATAGCTCCCCACAACAAAGAATTAACCAGCCCAAATACAAGAAAACTAATATTGAAAAACTCATCTTACAGGAAGAGTTGTTTGGCTTTAATACACATGTACCCTAAAGTTTTATATTTGGAATTATTTTCTTTTTGATGTTATCTGGCCTTTTAACTTATTGTTAAAACTATTGAGGAAATGTAATTCTTAGTCTTTCAAAACATGCATGTTTTCTTCATTATGAGTATTGGAAAACACTCATGCTATAAGTATTGGAGAACACTTCCTCATGTAGCCTATCATGAGGGATCTGTATATAGCCTCTTCCTGGTTAAAAGATCCTGCATATAACATGAACTGTATAAATGTGAGAGTTGTCAGAATCAAAATGGAGTCACTTGTGTCAATTCTGACAAAATAAATAAATTCTAACACAATGAATAAAGACAGAAAGTTACGATGGGAGATTTCTCACACATGATTACCTGACAATAACTATCACAAAAGACTCTGCCAGATCATAGCTTTACATAAAGACCCTACAGCCTTACACAAAACTACTTCTGTGAGTAACTATTCCACATCAGACTCACTCCATTCTCATTATTAATCCTTACAGCCAAGGATTATTGTTTCAAAACATTATATTTAATCATTTTCATTTTATCTTCAAAAACTATCTCTTGCCTCATCCCCTTTGAATACACTCACAGTTTTTCAATATTATGGGTGTTTCCATTGCAGTGTACTGCATTTCCAAATAAATATGATTATTTTTTGGAAAATCTCCTTATAATAATTATTTAGATTGACATAAACATGCCCTTTATTTATGTTTTAAAGACCCTGTAAATTAAAGGAAAGCTATTGAGGCTGAAGCACAGAAAGTAAGAGAAAGAGGCAAGATAAAAGGCAAGAGAGATAATCACTGTGTAGAGATAATTTTTTTTGCTAAGGATTTTAGAATTTGTCATATCAGCAATGAAACTGTTACCATGTTTCAAGCAAGAAATGATAAAAGTTTTCAAGAAGAGAAATAATAAAAATGTTTTTTGTGTCTTATAAAATTCACTCAGGCTATTGCCTGAAAATGTATTTGTGAACGGGCAAGAATGAATTTAGGAAGGCATGATAAAAATGTTTTTGTATTTATCAGACAGTTGTTAGAAGTGATAATGGATTCAATTAGGGGTTGATGGTGAAAATTGGAGGTAGTCAGTTTGCATTGTAATTGGAAGGTAGCATGAACAGTCTTAGTGAATAAATATGGAGTAGTAAAGAACAGTGTTATTAGGATGGAGAACTGGGTGGATGGTGATACCAAAGCACTGAGAAGGAAATTGTAATACATACGTTTGTGTGTCTTCTGGTATATGTCTATCTACTATAACCATATCAAACGAGGAAGAAAAATCAGAGCTGGATTTCCTTCATGTAAGGACCCAGCAAGAATAGTTCCTACAAATCAGGAAAGGAAGCCTATTTGGGGACAGAATTTGGACTTTTCAGCTTCATAACTGTAAGAAATAGATTCCTTTTATTTAAACCATACAACGTATAGTATTTTATTATGGCAGTTGGAACTAAGACAGGAACCAACAAGAAAATGCTAACACCCTGGCTACTGCTATTGCTACGAGTAATGATCTTTCCTTTGTCTTTTATTTAAAACTCTCAGGTCTTCTGCCAGGAAGTAGTATCTAAAGTAAATTGCCCTTAAGAGTTTTATATAGTATGCACTCCTCCTTACATATATTTGACATGGAACATTTTAATGTTCCATATGAAGCATTTTGCAACACATTTACTGTAGATTCTTTTGGGCTACATATTAAAGTCATGAGCGGATCAAGGATACTTCATATTCTTATTGGTTTGGAGGAAATATCACTTAAGAGGACTCATTTTTTAAGACTTCTGACTGGAAATTAATAGGTAAGGTGCTTTGATTTCAAGAATAGCATATACTGAATGGTAGACATGAATAGTACAATAACTAGGGAAGAAAATCTTGTAAGTTTCTAATAAGACTAACATTGGCATTTCCTTTATGTACAAGTTTTTGTAAATGAGATCAATGTGCCAATCTGTCTCTCTCTACTTGACCCTCTCTTTTTTACTTTCATAGTCTGTGTAAGCCATTGTGAATTCATAAAATAACCTTTTTCTAGCATTTCTTTGGTCATAAGTATCCATACATTACCATGGTGTATAAGAATACAGGAAAGTATACTCTCTCTAATCCTTCTCAAAAAATTATCACAAATTTAGTAGTTTAAAACAATACAAATGTATTTTCTAAAATTTATTATCTTTGTGAAGAAAGTCTGGGTGTAGTTATCTGGGTTCTCCGTGTGGAGACATATGTCTCTTTTTCTCACTCCACTTTTTTTTCAGTTGTTTAAATGAAATTAATATGTGACAGTTTGTTTATAACATTTCCATGGATGATATAAGTTTTTCTTAAATAAGAAATGCCAGTTCTCAAGATAAGCCCAAGTTCAGAAAAAAGTGCATATGGAAGCTTTTTTCATGGTTAGAAGGGAAAATAAGGTCTCTAAAAATAACAAGAGTAAGTCTCGAGAGTCTTCAATAACTGAAGGGACAGCCATAACAAAAGAATATTTTTCTTTAAATTAGCATATAGAAACCTATTTTAGGTTCAAAGTATTTTTAAATAATTATAACTTAATGGGAGAAGATTCTTATTAGTAAGTAGATATATTGTCCATGAATTCTACATTTCATGTATCACTGAAAATAGAAATGAATTATGATGGTAATTTAGAGAACAATTATATTTTCATAAAAATAATATGATTGAACTGGAAGATATTTTGTCTTGTAGAATAAAGCCAAAATTAAGACATGCCGGGAAATATTACATTTGGATTAAGAACAATTTTTCTCACTTCTACTAGGTTTTCAAACTTATTAACAAGCTTTGAATCTTTTCTATACAATTATTATTTAATGATTTATAATTTCACTTGTTTATAAAAATACTAAATGAAATTTAAGCTAAAGTACATGATATAGGCATTACAGATGCTTCATAAATCTCACAAAATTTTCTTTTTTCTGAGATATCAATTGTTAATGAAGTGATGGCTCTCAGAGTAATAGAGAATATGTTTGAGTAGTTTGTTTACTCAGTTTCTTGTTTGTTGTTATTAATTATTCATATTTCTTCTTCTATGTCCATCCAATATTGTTGCAGCAAAAGTCCTTTCTGCACTTGGTGCTATGTAATTACTTCCTCCCTTGAGAGAGATTACCATGAACCCCAAAGCTCATTTTGCTTTAGTTATAGTGCAGTTTTTTTATATCATGAAATAACTTAGTTCTTTTGCTGTAGAGAAAAAACAATCATTCAGGGATTTTTTTGCAGGATGCTATGAGAATTACCAGTTCAAATGTCCCTACAAATATTTCATAGCTTTCTATCTGTCAGTATCATAACACATGAGGTTGAAATAAAGATCCAACATGGCAGCAATTACTTCTAGTACATAGTACTTTAAAAAGAATCAATAGGACTGGATGCTTACAGCTCAAATAAAATACAGTTGCTATTAATGAGCTAAATGTGGGAACAACCACTTGAAATTTTTCTTGAAATAATCTAAATCTTTGCAAATATGCATGTTCCATGATTTCAGCAAATTGATTGAATTTTTTAAATCTCAAAATAGATCATTTTGAAATATTTGGGATATTTGAAATATATTACATATAACTAAGTGTTCACCACCTATCAAAAGGATGCATGAGATTCTCCTAGGTACTATATTTACACTTCCCCATATGAAATAGAAGAAATGCTGTTGTAATTTGATATTAATATAGACTTCACTGTGTTCCTATACATTACAAAGGTAGCCTGGGTTTTGACATTTTTAGGACAAGTTGGCAATCATATTAGTACCACTGCTAAGATTAATTCTTGATACTGTGTCATTGGACATGGTTCCAATTGCTTCATGTGAATTATCTCATTCTAATCTTATTGTGAAGTAGTACATGTTCCCATATTTTACAGATGAGAAAGCTGAGGCCTAAAATAATGAGGGCTTAAATAATGCGTTCAGGAAACTCAGAGGATTATGGTTTATTTGGAATCGAAATTGGTTCTAGAACACAAGCTTCTAGCCAATATGTGTGCTACACATATAGTGTACCTCAATTTTATTACAATAAAAAGTATATATCACTGTGTGAATGAATGTGTATTTTCATTCTCTGTCTCACTTTTCTCTTCTTGTACAAAATCTGTTGTGGATTTCAATTAATTGCTTTGGAACATTATGTTCCTTATCCACATCTTTCTTATCCAAGAACACTTCTTATGGAAGACATTTGAAATTATTCATCTTAAACAAAAAAGAATAAAGACTATTAGTTGTTACTAAAGATCCACTGAATTTACCCCTAAAGGTTATTCTCACTGAAACAAAAAATACCTGCAAACATGATTCATTTTTATGAATTTTATTCTTATATTCTATTACAATGTGTAAGTCTCAAGTACACCTACAACATAATTTCTGACAAACTCATTTTGAGCATTCATAGATCTATGAAACTTGAAAAGAAATCTATGCACACAGCACTATGATATTCACGGTTATTCACTTATTTTCATTAAGCAAATCTTGATTGTTTTCCTCAAGAATATAATAACATAATGACCACAAATATTTTAAAAATTGTTGGCCTCTACACATAGATTGTAAAGCTGGCCAATTACTGGGCTATCCTATTTGAGCTGGCCCTTTTTTCATTACTTCCATTAACATTTCTCTGAAATTGCTATTACGGACTGCTTATTTACACATATATTTTGCTTTTAGTCTTTTTAATAAACCTATCAAAATTCTATAAAATCGTGCTAAATATTTTGGGTGGTAATTTTCAACGAGTGTTTAGAAACAGCCCACAAGTCACTTAAACATTTTGCAAAGTAGATAACATACAAAGAAAGGTAAAATGAGATTCCTCCATTTCCATCCAAATTTGTGTATGAGTTTGTGTTCAAATCTGTTCGTTTCCACTTTATTCTAATTTAAATTGTACAGAGTAACTGCCATTCTAAATCATTAGGTGACAGAATTTATATATTGCTATGATAGTTTCTTCAGATGGATGGTATTTTATAGTCAGTATAAATAGTAACCCACATGAGAAGAGAAGTGTAATTTTACTTCAAGCTTCACTTAATGAGCTCTTAGTGCCAAACATTGTTTTTAATTGATAAAACATAAGAAGCAGTCATTTCTGGGACAAAAATATAGCTATAAAAGCTAAACATATTATAATTTTATAAAATTATAGGTCAGCAAGAAATAGGTTCCATAGGAGATAGGAAAAAGAGCAACTTTGCAATTCATTGTTTTAACTCCTAAGAAAAAATCATGTTGAGGAACTAGTTGCCAATATTTTTTATTTTACATAAAAGGCAATGTAAAAACATTAATAATAAATCACAGACCAACCTGCCTACCAAACATCTTTTCATACTGCATCATATAAAAATTCACAATGCAGTTATATTTATATGGGTTTACAATAATGATGGACTGAATTCAAATTTAAGGTGATAATCATTTCTTAATTAAATGTATTAAAAATCTTACATAAGTAATATATTTTATATGGTTCCATAATTAAATTGTCCAAGACTATTTTCAACAGAGCTATCAGGTATGTTATGCAATGCATTGTATAATCTAATTAAACACTGCATGGTATCTTTCATATTAAATTAAAAAGTGATTCAACTAATCTAAGGTGAATGGTTAAGTATAGATGTAAAGAAGTATGATTAAGTAAAGACTCTTTGGCCCTAGATTTAATTTCCTCGTTACCTCAAGACAAATGTCTAGAAGTGATAATCTCTGTATGGATGTTGTAAAATACATCAAAATTTAAAAACATTCTAGACATAAAGTTCTGTGAAAATATCTTTTTTTTTTTTTTTACTTTTTTTCTTATGGCTGTATTTCTTAAGTTTTTCCCTTTCTTCATCTTTCATTCTTTAGCCACATGTCTTCACCTTTCTAGGCAAGTATAAATCTTTTCAACTGGACAGAAAAACAAAAAATATGTGCTTAATTACTTATATAAATATAATTTATTATATTTTAAATTTAAAAAGAAAATTGATGAAGTATGTTCTATATATTTGCTTCAAAAATTCCCTCAAAACTTCTAAATAAGCTCACTGTCTACTTAGGAAACTCAATTTTTGCCTATGCATGGATAAATTGATAGAGAAAAGATTTCATGTTCCTGGAATAAACTCATGAGAAAATGCATCATTACCATTTATTTTAAGTTTCCATTAACAAGGAATTTTTCTCCCCTCTGGCACTAGTGATTGAACCCAAGAGTTTGCTATTACTGAGGTACATCCTTAGCCCTTTTGATTTTGAGACAGGTTCTTTCTAAGTTGCCCAAGTTGGCCATGAATTTGTGATCCTCTGGCCTTAGCCTCCTGATGAGCTAGAATTTTAGGTGTGTGCCACTGCACCAGCTGAAAGGCTTTTAAAAAACTAGATCTGCAATCCTTGGTAGTGTGATTCTAGCTAGAACAAAATGGGTATGTGCTTTTAAATTATAACTCAGACTAATTTATTTATTGGTAAAAATAAACTTCATGTCATAGAATATTAAGGGAAAAGTGACATCCTCTTTATTTTGCAGATAAAATAATAGAAGTCGAAAATTATTACTTCTACAGTTTAAGAGAGTGGGTTAGTAGCAAGAGAGAAATTTCATTAGGATTACTATTTGAATGCTATTCATTCATCCTAAACACCTGGCAAGCAGGTGTTAAAGCCTGTCATATATTATAACATGAAAGCTTGACAAACACATTTAGGATAGTATATAAGTGATGTAGTAAATACTGTGCCAAAGCCATTATCTCCTCAAACATATACTGTCGTATCAAATAGCTAATTTCATATCAGGAACTGTTTAATTGAAGGGAAATATCAAATTTACTTAGAGATAAGTGACAACTAAACAAATTTCATAAGGAAGAAGATAAAAATGACAAAAGAGTTGGCCATTGTAAGTATTGTTGGGCAGAGTAGTCCAGTGTTAGATTGTATAAATAAGAGTTAGAGGTTTTGTTAATTGCTTTAATAGTTATTTTCAGTTTCTTCTTTTGAGGAATGTGATATATAGTTAGAATAATTTTTAAAGTTCTGTGGTTATTGTAGGGACAAAGTAGGATATATAAAAGACAGGCTAGCTAGGAGCAGTGGCGTGCACCTGTAGTCCCAGCTATTCAGGAGGCTGAGGTGGGAGGGTTATTTGATCCCAAGGGTTCAAAAGCAGCCTGAGCAATAGTGAGACCCCATTTCAAACAAAACAAAACAAAACAAAACAAAACAAAACAAAATAAAGCACAGGCTTTGACACACCATATGTATGTGATTCAAAAATGAATGAGAGTCCAGCTAAATGAAAAACATTTGTTTGTTGAAATTAATAGCCTACATGTGTTTTTAATCCCATGACATTTTATAGGCACATATAAATTGGTTCTGATAAAATGATGGAATGAATTTAAGCACCTCAAAATATAGAATGACCTTTGTACATGGATAAGTGATTGTAGTTCACTAATAACAAGATGTTTTAACTTTACTATTTAACATTACTAATGTCCATTACTTTTATCAGGAAATTCATTGCAAAGCCAAGGCAAAATACTTTTAATGATTTCTAAATAACAGATATTTTCCTCTGTGTGTTTGTGGGAGTTCTTATATTTACATAGGAAACATGGGTAATTACAATCTAGTGAAGAGATAACAAGGCAGATGTGAACATTTTCTACATGGCCTTCTGATTTGTTAAAAAAAATTAAATAACCTTTCCTTGCTGCAATCAATAATCCCTACAGAGTTACTCATAATTCTTTCAGAATCATTTACCAATGCAAAAATAGCCATCTGCTAGTGCTGCTCTCTTGTCATAGAGAATCGTAACTACTGACTGCACTGCCTTTGAAACTATTTCGATAAAAAGAGTTTGGCATAGACCTCCTTAAAAGAGTCTTATTAACACAAATAAATCACCTTCACAGGCTGTAAACAATATATAAAAAATGAAGCTCTATTTTTTGCTGTCCTTGCCATCTTTCCCTTTGTCTTCTTTTTCTGTTTTGTCTGTTTCGTATTTCTCTTGCTCTGGCTTGGTTACACTATCATATGAAGGTGGAGAGATGGTAGATGCAGTTGCATCTGTTTTTTCTGGACTGGAGTTCCCATTAACATTATCAAAAACTATCTCTTCTTTGTTGGGCAAGTCATCATCTCTGTCTCCGTCTTTCATGTATATACTTGATATATTTTTGACATTTTTCCGTAAGCGGTAATGTCTGTAAGCACGCTGTATGACAGTAGCAGACACATCCTCTTGCTTTCTTTTTAGTGTAGTTGTGATAGGTTCATAGGATACTTTAGAAGGATTTGCAGACATGAACCTTTCTTCCATTTGTGAACGAAGAGAATCCATCTCTCCACTCTCACCCAAAACCCGCTTTGTAAAGGCAAATAAGATGTCCAGGCAGTGGATCCGGTCTCCACTGACCATGGGCAGGTCCATGGCAATGAGCTGGACTTTGTTTGGTTTTGCTATGAGAAGAGGGGGATCCAGAGCAGCTGCAAAATCGGAGAGCTTGCTGTATTCTATGAACTGAGTTGCATCAGGATCGAACTTCTCCCACACCTCATAGAACATCTCAAAGTCATCCTCACTCAGGGGTTCAGTACTTTCTTCAGTGGCAACGCTGAAGTTCTCCAGGATGACAGCGATGTACATGTTCACCACCACCAGAAAGGAAATGATGATGTAACTGACAAAATAGAAAATCCCAACAGATGGGTTCCCACAGTCACCCTTCACGGAGCTCCCAGGGTGCTCTTTTTCAGGGTCACAGTCTGGAGGTCCACTATTAAGAATGGGAGCGAGCAGTCCATCCCAGCCCGCAGAGGTGGTAATTTGGAACAGGCAGATCATGCTGTTGCCAAAGGTCTCAAAGTTGAACATGTCATCAATTCCAGCTTCCTTTTTAACATAGGCAAAGTTGGACATTCCAAAGATGGCGTAGATGAACATGACCAGGAAGAGCAGGAGGCCGATGTTAAACAGAGCAGGAAGAGACATCATCAAAGCAAAGAGCAGCGTGCGGATCCCCTTTGCTCCTTTGATCAGACGAAGGATTCTGCCAATCCTGGCCAGACGTATCACTCGGAACAGGGTAGGGGACACAAAATACTTCTCTATCAGCTCCGCAAGAAACATACCTATATGAGGAGGGGGGAAAGGAGATATTTAAATATTTTGCTGTAGAAAATCATGATTCTAAATTTTTTTTCTGCCATCTTAACTTTTATGAATTCAGGACTGTTAAGTTACACTGATTTCTATTTCTTAACTAGTTTATAGTTTGAAGAATTCTAAAGGAAAATTCATAGACTTACCATTGTGAGTTTTCTTTTTACTAAGTTCATAAACTTCTTTTCCCTTTTACAATATAATATTTTGTAATTACAAAGATAAGGCTTACTCAGGTAGAAAATTCAAGCAATACACTAACATACTAAATAGGAAATTATATATCACCTCAAATACAGCTTGTGATAATTGACTAACATTCAATATTTTGTTGAGTATCACTTAGATGTTCCTCTATACATGTAAATACATGCACATACACACAATCATTTCATGTGATTCTGTAGCTCTTCTTTGTAACATATTTTAGTCACTGTGTCATATGGCATGAAGACATTTCCTCCACAAATAACAATTCTTGTAGTTGTGCAACATTCTATCAAAATAATCACATATTGAAGAATAGCATTTATGATTTATTTCTAATTTTTTGGCTTAAAATGAATATCTAAATAAGCACATTTTCTGAATTGCATGACTATGTGTTTTGATAATACCTAAACAGAAGTTGGATCAAACAATATGTTTAAATTTTTGTTATGTATTGCCCATTCCATCTCCAGAAATTCTATACAAAGTGCTACTCCAGATAACTGCGTTTGAAAGTGCTCATTCACCATGTTCACCAGTACTTGACATTACACTTTTTAATCAGAATATCTTTACATTTAAATTAATCTATTATTATAATTTATTTGAATTTTTAGAAAAATAATATATATTTTCTCATTTATTGAATATTTTGATTTAGTTGTTTTAAACTTTTCTTTTTTTTGCCTGAGTGAAATATTTGCTTTTCTATTAAAACACTTACTATATTATTATTGCTCTATGTCATAAGTGTTACAAAAAATTTTCTGTTTTATAGTTGTCTTTCAATCTATTTTTGTGTTGTGAGTTTTCTTCTATTTAATATTTTGAATTTTGTGCAATCATATCCTGTGTTGCTTTTTTCTTTATAGACTCAAGTTTATGTCATAAACAGCAATGGCTATTAAAGTTCATGAATATAAATTTATTGCCACATATTTTCTACTTGACTTCATTTTTTAAAAAACAATAACATTTGATTCGTGTGATCTTTTTACTGAGTACATTAGTAATTCTCTATATATTATAGTTTAAATTTGAACAATGTTTGACTTTTTATTTTTAAGCAATGTTATATTATCATCAGTGTTACACTATTATTATGGTAGTCTTAATGTTGAATATGACAAGCCATCTCCCATTATTCTAATTTTTCTTCTAGGTGAATTTTAGAATGATTTAGACTTACAGTGTCAGTTTACCACCCCATTATGTAAAAATATCATTAATATCTTTATTGATTTTATAAATTCTTTTATAAAATAATCTATTTATAGTAAGAGATTTCTTTTCCAAGTACAATATAAGCCTTTCATTTATTTCATACTTTTTTGTCCTTTATTTTTTTTTTTTGGTACCAGGGATCAATTGGGACCTTGCACTTGTGAGGCAGGCACCAGAACCACTGAGCTAAATCCCCGGCCCTGTCCTTTACTTTTTTAATAGAAGTTTTATATGTTAAAGTTGTTACTAGATGGTTCACCTTATTTATATTTCAATTAGATTTTTTCAAGTATATTTTCTAACTTTTCTCCATATATCAATTATTAATATAGGTATGTGTAGTTTAAAACTCTACCCTTCTGAAATATAATTGAATTTATTTTTGGTTGATTCTTTTCATTTTAAAATAATGTCATAATAAAGTGAGGATAAAGAACATTTGCTCCCTGGTTATAATATATCTTCTGGTTGTTTTCATATCTAACTGCATTGGTCAAAATTGTTTTAAAACATCAGTGATAGAAGGATTATTTCCTTTCCAATTTAATTCCATTTTTTTCTCATTGGTGAAATCACTACCTAAATTTTAATTTTTTTCTTATGTCTTAATTTTAGTATGTGGTGATAATAATATTTTTCAAAATTTGATTTCAAATACTTATTACAAATTATGTGGCATGTAATAATATGGTTATAGGTTGTGTGGCCTTTCATTTTTCTGGGTCTTTTCTATCATATTTGAGTTTCATTCATATTAAAATGTCTCCACAATCTGTCTCATTTAAAATTTATAAATAAGTATAACCATAAAAATATTGGGCATGTGAAAATAATGAAAGATAGAAAAGCAGATATGACAAAGACTGTAGTTGGCTGAGAAATGATTTCATTTTACAGACTGACCAAGTATTGTTGTGAGGAAGAAAGCTAACATTTATTGAGACTTTAAATTCGAGAATAATTTTCAAAATCACAGATATTCTGGTTCTTCATATCATTAGTAAAAAGTGAGGCCTTATTTATGCCAAAAGTAGAAATAATTTCAGATTCTACCTTGGCTCACCAGACATATCTATGAATAAACACATTGTCCAGCTTTGTATAAAGTAAATGTGGAAAATAAATATTAATTCCAATTAAGTCTTTTCAACAGACAGAAATGGGTTTTTTTGGTACTGGGGATTGAACTCGCGACCTTGTGCTTGCAAGGCAGGTGCCAGAACCACTGAGCTAAATCCCCAGCTAGACAGAAATGTTTGGCATTTAGGTCTGGAGTGTCAACTTAGAAATTCTTTAGTTTTTATCAGTATATATTTGTGACACATAATGAATACATTCATTGTAGGAAGTGGGTACATTTACATAGTACATCTTAATCCTTTCTATTTCTCATATCCTATTCCCCATCCCTAGATCCTTTTCTCAGCTTCCTTATTTCCTATCATCTATTTTTATTTTGCTATTTAAACCATTTGCATTTGAGGTTTCTCATATAGTAGAAACCATGTGATATTTAATCTGTGTCTGATTTATTTCATTTAGCATTATAGTCTCAAAGCACATGTATTTTTCTACAAATAACTCAAATTTATCATTTTATGTTTGAGTAGTACTCCATTGTGTATATAGGCCACATTTTTCTTTACTCATTCAGCCATTTATGGACACAGAGGCCATTTCCATGATTTAGCTATTGTGGGCTGTGCTGTTATAAAGCATGGGTGTGCATGTATCACTGTGATACAGTGTTTTTGACTCTATTGGGAAGAAGTACACTTGATACACAGGAATTCTGACAGAGGTTTACGTTTTGTTTCTAAGGTTCTTTCATTCTTTTATGATGCTGAAATTCATTTTTTGGAAGTAAAGAGCTAAAACATTTCTTGTGATGCAAACATAGATACAACTGAAAGATAAGTTTAAATTTAATAATTCAGGTTCTTCTGTGAGCATTGGTGGGTTTAGTTTATTTAAAATTAAAATTTGATTAATAACTGGCCTTACCTACAATGGAGAGAATCACAACCACAAAATCAAAAATGTTCCATCCCACTGTGAAGTAGTAATGTCTGAGGGAGATTAGTTTCAGCACACATTCTCCAGTGAAAAGGATAATAAAAACAACATTTATCCAGTACAAAACATTAATCATTTCATCACTTTGTCCTTCTTTTTCTACCATCATGGTTACCATATTGAGGCAGATAAGAACCATGATAGTGATGTCAAAAGCTTGGTTTGTTACTAGGTCAAATATGCATCCTTGGAACTTGTTCTGTAAGAGACAAGAATGATATGAAAAGTACAGAAAATATTTCAAGTAGTATTATATATGTAGATGTGCAAAAAAGACAAGTTAAAATAATTAGAAATTTAACATCATAAATTATATATATTTATATAAATTACATAAATAGTTTGTACACATATATATTTACCCCTGGCCGGGGAATCGGCTTTTGTGGTTTCTTGGACCCCAGCTTTTTCATTGCATTATAGTATTTCTTCTGTTCTTCTGTCATGAAGATGTCTTGACCTCCAAGGTAAAAAATTAAAAAAGAAATCTAGTTAAAACCAAAATCATTGTGTAGGTTTTTCTCCTGACCCTTAAATTATATTAAAATATATTAATGTGGAAATCACATGCATTTTATTATATAAATAGTAGTTATATATAAAATATTTTAAAAATTACCTATGGATAGGCACATGAGCCTCCATACATAATATAATGTGCATATATCAAATATCAACATTACATAAAATAATGATTGGACCAATTACATTTTACGTACTAATTTATTGTTGTAGAGTATGTGCTGCTGTTTCATTTTATCTGATCTTTGTCTTACCAGACATTTTCATGCTAAGCAACAAATATAGTGGGAAAAGGTACAACAGTTAATTGTAGTAAATGTTTCTTTTAATGATTTGGCTAATGTTTAGGACTCTTAGAAGGAGTAGAGGCCAGAAAATTTTGTTAAAATAATTTTATATTTATTTATATTTATTCAATATGCTGTCATTGCTTTATCAGAGAAGAATGAATGCATGATAAGTAAGGCACAGATAATTCCAAATCTATATCTATATCCACAGTTGTATCTATGTTTGTATCACAAGAAATGTTTTAGCTCTTTATTTCCAAAAAATGAATTTCAACCTAAATACTTATTGGGTATCAAAATTATGATGATAAAGATCCAGGTACTAAAGAAGTTACCAATAATTAGGGCTAAAAAACTGAAAGACTTTGTAATTTATTGTATAAAATACAATACAAACATTAAATTTCAATGATTGTATCTTTAAAAAATTTTATTCTTTTTACACAGGAAAAACCTAAATCTCATAGAAAAGTTGTAGAAACTTTGGCTATTCCTTTAGGATTTGTTAGTTTCTTTAAATAATCTGTAATTTTTTACAGATATGTGCATATTCCACATTGGTCTGTAATAAAACCTTCTCAAAATCATAGCATAAGTTAGAATAATCCATGCAATTAGAGATGCATTTTGGCAAATTGATGATTCTGAAGTACTTCTGAGTAGAGTCCTGGAATTGAAAATAAACAGGTCCTGGTTTCCTTTTAGTTCTTTTCAATTAAAACATTCAGCTTCCTATTACACTGTATTTCATACTACTCAAATACCTATTACCAGTCTTTCTTTTTTATCTTAGAGTGATTTCATTCACCTTTCCCCTCTAGTTCATATGCAGTCTTTGTGTAACTATGGTATTCATCTGATCAGTTGTAGCTACGCATGTGAGGGTCTGTATGCTTATGTCAAGTGAAGTTGGGGCACTTTATTGCTTATTAGTTGGGGCCTGGATATCACAGTGTTTAAAACCTGACCAGCAAAGTTGGAAACACACTGAGGATAGAACTCTGAATTAGAGGTGAAAAATCAAGGTAGTAGCTTTTGTCTTCATCTAATGATATCTTTAATGAAGGGTGGAATGAAACTAACAGGTGATTTTGAAATGTTCCAACAGAGAATCTTGTGTTGCGTGGTTCTGATCTACTATAAGTTAAGTAGGACTTGTGCAAATGCATTCCTTTAAAAGCTAAGGAGGAGAAGTCCTGTAAGTCAGGCTGGCCTATCAGAATGTGACACTCTGTCAAAGCAGTATTACACATTGGTTTAGACTATAGTTCTGGCATTATATTATCTTTGTTTAAGTTCCATCTCTGTTGCCCTTACACAAATTTCCTAATCTCTTTAATTATGAATCAACTTATTATAGTATAACTACATTATTAATTTTTTGAAAGGCTTGACTGGGATAATGCAGGCAAATACTTAGCATAACGCTAGTACACAGCAACCATTCAATACATTTGAGTTACGACAGGTTGTGCATCTTTGATCTGAAAATTTGAATTCCGAACCTTTTTGATGGCCACCATGATACCACATGTGAAAAATTGCACACCTGACCTGTGATGGGTAGCATTGACATTGCAGCCACACTAAAAATATAGAACATAATCCTCTATTGCATAACTTGTATATGCATTATGTATAATATAAATAAATTTGGATTTAGAGCCGTAAAGAAATCTCATTATTTATACAGATATTCCAGAATCCAAAAATCTCCGAAATTCAGAACACTTATGGTCCTAAGCATTTTGGGAAAAGGATACTCAACCTTATTTAGGGTAATTACTATTAACTTTCTTCATAAGCTTATGGTTACTTTAGAAAGGGGTTGTTTTACTAGAAGTTTTCATGGGTGTCCAGGTCTGAATTAAGCATTTGTATAATTATATCACATAGTTTTCCCATTTATAACCTATCTCAGTAACAATTTGTATTCTAATCTTCAGTAGTATGCCTTACGACTAACTATTAACCTTAAATTTTACATAAATGTATTAAAGATGAAAAGAGCACTAATGTGGATAATAGATGGTTGGAAAAACTAGCAAGGTGGGATTGGTTAGAAAGAGACAGAAGTAAGCCAGGTGTGGTGGAACACAGTTATAATCCCAGCTGCTCAGAAGGCTGAGACAGGAAGATCTCAAGTTCAGGCTAGTCTAGGCAATTAATGAAATCTTGTATTGGGTGATGCTCAGTGGCTGAGCCTTGCTTAGGATCAACCCCCCATATTACCACAAAGAAGGAGAGGGTGAGGAAGTAGAGGAGAGAGAGAAAAGGAAAAGGAAAAAGAAAAAGGAGGAAAAAGTGTGGGCCATAAATTGTTTTTTTAAAAAAGTTAAGAGGCAACACTACATTATGGGAAAAACATGGCCTTTGAAGTCAAACAGCCCTCATCCTCTGCTTGTGAGCAGTCAACCGAGGGCATAGTATCATTTCAGTGCATGCATCTGTCTCACCTGGGAAGTCTGCACCTGAAATCATTCCTGTTAGTAATCTACCCCTCATCCCTGCAAAGTTTTCTTTTCTGTAGAGGGTGCCACAGCCACAGTAACTCAGTTCACTGACGAGAAACCCAAAATTTAGACTCTACTTTCTTTGAAATCACAGACACTACTATAGACTCTAACTCCTAAAACATCTTGATTGAATATACTCTCTTTTCTCTTGGCACAAAAGGGTTGCATAGAGTAAATGTGATGCAGGTGGGAGGTAAAGCAGGGTCTGAACTAAACTTTGACTCTCCTTAAACATTGTGAGAATCACGGCTAGATTATTTTTAATATAGGCTCAGTTTTATAGTGTGTAGAAATAGAGACTCTGGAGTTAGATTTATGATGAAGCTACTTTCTAGCTTCCAACTACATACAAGTAGCATAACCTCTCTGAGAGTTAGCTAGTGATACTTACATCTTCTAGATTACACATGTGGGGAACTGACATGTGTGGGATCTGATGCACTTTGGAGTCCTACAACGTCAATGCCTTGCTCATATGTTCCTCCTTACTCAAAATGCCTCAGTGACACAGTCAGTTCCTACTAAGAAACATCCAGCATGACTTTTCGTATGATCTTTTCATGCCTTTTCAAGAAGGTCATAATCTCTCTTTATTATTTTTCTTCTCAAATCTAAACTCCACCCAAGCTGGACAAGTTGCTATTCCTCCTGAATTGCAGCCTCCTTTATTGGCACTTTGCATATGCTCTTCCATTTCTGTTCTGCTTCATGTGGATTATACATTCTTTTATCTTCCAGTCACTACATGTCCCCAGTTCCTACATGTTCCCAGTCCTGCTCAAAAGTTACACATTTTATAAACTTTTCTACTGCTGTATCAATTTTTCCTCTGACTGCTCAGGGACATTTTTATTATTGTTAATTTCTCTTACTGCATTTATCACTGTATTATATTGTAGTATTTGTGGATACAACATCATAAAAGGCCTAAAAGAATACACTAAATAGTCTAGATACATGGAATATACTACAAAGCTCTGTTTAAGCTCTATCATTTACTGGATGTATGATCTTGGTAAATTATTTAACTTCTCTATGTCTTTTGTCATTTAAGACATTTGTATAATAATAATAATAATAATAATAATGATAATAATAAGGCTTTTGGTTGATTTTTTGCATTGAATTGTTACCTTAAAAAGATATGCTAAAGACATAACACTAGAACCTCACTTGGAAGTAGTGTTTTTTCAAGTGTAATTAAGGCAAGGTCATGCTGGAATAGGATAAGTCCTTAATTCATTATAATTGGTGTCCTCTACAGGGAACATTGGGATAGACTGAGTAAAGTATCTATGACTTAAGAATTTATTCTCTGTACAAAAATGGATAAGATTAAGCATATCTATAACTGTATACTTGGCCAATCACTTGAAAAATAAGTAAAGTGGTAATGAAACTACTGATGAAAGTCAAATTTAGAAAGTTGGGAAAATAATTGTTCATTTCTTTTTGGTGCAAGAAAGGAAATATTTGAATACTTATCTTCTTTTTTTGTTGGTTGAAATTATCTATGATGACACCAATGAACAAATTCAGAGTGAAGAATGACCCAAAGATGATAAAGATGACAAAATAAATATACATGTAAAGGTTGTATTCATATCTCGGCTGCTGGTCTTCCTATAAAATTAATAAAAGCAATATGTTCACAATAACATTCATAATTTTCATGACTTGACAAAGTAATCTTAAAAATGCTATCTTAGGTAAACTGGGTATTTTCAAAGCCACAGAATTGTTGAGGCTTCATATAGTTATTCTTTACAAATTATTCAATATTAAACAAGTATTTAATAGATGGTTTCTACAGTCTTCAGATGACTCTAAAGGACCTAATCATATGTAGTACTTGTTCTCAGATTGGTAGGATTATTTAGTTATATATATATATATATATATATATATATATATATATATATCCAGAGAAACCTGTAAAGAGGAGGATGCCATATTGATGTAAATTTTATTACTTTTTGCTTGGCTATAAAAATATCTTTGCTGCATTTCATGAAGATGTAAACTAGCCAGTAATCTTTAAATTTTTGTAGCATGGAATTTATTTCAAATAAACTCTTCTAAGATGCTTGAAAATATAACGCAGTAAAAACCATGAAGAAAAAATTATTTCACTTTTATTGTGATAAATTAATATTTACTGAGCATTTATTATTGCCATCTTATTCTAAGTAACCCACTTGTACTTTCTTATTGGATCTACATATCGATGCTATGAGGTAGGCACAGCGTTAGTTTACTTTTGCAGAAGAATAAACTAACACTTGAAAAGGTAAAGTGCTTTGCTCAAAGTCAGCTGCAGAGCTTGGAGAATGTACTGGAGCCACAATCTGAGTCAGACTTTGCCTCCAATGCTCTACTCCTACTTGTGAGGCTACGATCACCTTCACTGTATTTGTACATGCCAAGGGCTCTGTGGTGCTATAGTTTAAAATACTGAACTAAGCTAAGGAGACATTTTAAATTCTAAGTTTTAATGGAAATATTGATGAATACTTACATTAACAGAATCAACTGCTGCATACATAATATCCATCCATCCCTTAAATGTTGCCTGTAAATATCATATTTATAGAATCAGAATATGAGGCTCATGCTCTAAAATTATTATAAATATAATTTTGTATATTTAGCCTTACAACAATCATTATATAATATTAAACTAGTAAGTTTTGCTATATTTCAAAATACCAATGTAATATAAAGATGCTTGTAAAAAGAGAACATATTCTTTTTTTTGGTGCTGGGGATCGAACTTGGGTCCTTGCGCTTGCAAAGCAGGCAGGGCAGAACCACTGAGCTGAATCCCCAGCCCAAGAACATACTCTTAAATCATATTCTAAATCTTAGTCTTAATTACTTCCAGGTTATTGTAATTACCTATGAATTCTGAGTATGTACTTTTAGTTTTTCAAAGAAGGAACAGAATTTTATGAGTATGGCAGGAAACATTTTTCCATTTTTAAAGGATTTCCTTTTATCAGTAGGAAGTCCTTCTCATTCTCCTATAGGGTAATACTGGAAGTCCAGTGCGACTATTTTTGAAGCAGTATTCAGAAAGTGCAACGGTAGTGATTCAAGTTACACCAAATAGTTAATTATGGATTAATAACTAAAATGCAGCAAACTTGGGCTTCTTAACCATGTCTATACTCACACAGTCTCAGAAAGATAAACTTGATTTTAAAAGTCATGTTGTACTTCCTCTTTAATTTTTAATTTATGGAATATTTAAATTGTGACCAAGATCTTTCATTGTATATCCAAGTATTTATGAAAAGAGTCACTTACAACTTGAAGCAAAGACAGATAACCAAGTCCAACATTATCAAAGTTCACTTTCAGGTTTTTCCATCGCACATCTGAAGTGACATTCATAAGGGCAAAGCACTCGGAGCGATTGTGGACTTGACTGTCTAGAAACCGTAACCCATCTGTGGTATTAACACACTCATAGAACTTGCCAGCAAACAAATTTACTCCCATGATGCTAAATATTAGCCAGAATATGAGACATACAAGGAGCACATTCATGATTGAAGGAATTGCTCCGATGAGTGCATTCACAACCACCTGGTATTAGAAAGAAAAAGAACAAGTAAGATATGTCAAAAAAACAGACAAACGAAAAACCAACCAAACAAAAAAGGTTAAATATGAAACATCAATGCAGGATTAAGGAAATTAGAAAAGCCATATTTAAGCCATCAAGTCAACTAACTGACATGTATATATTGAATGCCTATTGTATTCTCAGTGATGTGCCAAGAAAACAAATTCTGACATGAGCCCTATGATCAACATAATCTTCAAATTAAATGATTAACACAGTAAAATTATTAGCAAAAACCCAAGACAAAGTGACAAAAATGATAATACAATTTAAATAAACAGGAAAATAAAAAGAAATCCAAAAACCTGATATTGATAAGGTGAAGTCATAAAATCTGCACATTCTAAAAGAGAGAAAAAATATAAATGATAAAAAGGAAATTAAACGTACATTTAAAGTCTCATAATCTCAGAATTACCAGCACTAAAGGTTCCCCCACACTGGAAAAGTACTAGTGTATATTAAGTGGAGTTAAGACTAGGAGTCTTTACTAGGAGTAACTGGGACTGTGGATGTAGGTGGTTCTACAAAATGAGACTAATCTTGGGCTTTGGAGGAGGGGCTTTTTATTCTAAACTGAAAAATCTTTTATATTTAAATTCTTGGTCAAAAATAGGTAGTGCTATTCTCAGTTAAAACAAAGTGAGGCATAGTTTATCTTTAAAATATTCCTTTCTTTTGCTTTACCACATTTCCTCTGTTATTTATCACTGGTGATCTTCCCACTTCAACTTTCCTCCATGGCAACTTCTGCAGTATTTTTACTCTCCAGATTTGCTGAATTACTCCATCCTTAAAAACTTACAGATCTTTTAACACTTCACTTCGAGTCCTACAAATGTGTTAAAGATTAATTTGCTAGGGAAATAGCCTTGTGGTCCTTCTTTCATTTCCAATATATTACGCAGGTTCTCAAGATACTTCCAAATGGGGACTTTTGGAATTGCTCACCATCTATGACATTATCTAGAACAGGGGTTGGCAAACATATTCTTAAGTATTTTTAGCCTCTGTGGGTTTTGTGATCTCTATTACAACTATTCAACTCTGCTACATACATAAATGGAAATGATTGTGTTCTAATAAAACTTCCTTTGCAAAAAATAATCAATTTATTTGTAGGGTGTGGCCTGTTGACCCATTATCACAACAGGGATTATTACTCTGGAGTCCATGGACCAGCAAATACTCCATTGGAAAATGAAATAATATGATAATCACTGTGGTTATGCTTTCTTTCTGGAGAGCTAATGAACTTTCATGAAATCCTTACAGTGTACATGACCTCCAGAAATGTTAGGGAAACTAAGACTAGAGATGAAGCGTATAGTTCTCCATTAAGCCTGCCCTTTCACCCTCATATCCTGCTACCTCCTCACTATGCTTATCAACAAAGCATGCTGATCCTTCTAGTCATTTCCCCCAAACACCTGGAACACTCAACTGTGTACCTCTCAACTGTGTAGTATCTGTGCTTTGAAGGTCTACCTGCCTGTGGCTTGGGACTTTTACTCTCTCACTCATAGAGCCAATGTCAGCTCAATGGGAGCCTTTTCTGACCTCCCCAGGCAGCACTTCCTGCTCTGTGGTATTCCTGTAGCATCCGGTTCTTCCTGTTTAATAATAGGCACCACAGAATACTGTTCCTGTCTGTTCTGTGACAGTTGGGTCTACTCACTCTTCGGGGGACTAGGGCCCATTTGCCATTGTCCTATGTGCTTTTCATAGCAGAAGAGCTCACAGTGTTAGAATGTGTAATAATGGAAATAAATGCCATCACTCTCATGAGATACCAGATGGGAGAGTCAGTAACATTGAAGATCCTCAGGATTCCAAGTAAACTTGCCACAAAATGCCTCAAATGCATCATTTGATTTTTTTTTTCTCCAAAATAACCCTTCCAGGCAGAGAAATATTTCCTCCCACATGTTTAGCAAATGTAAGTAATCATTTTTTTAATCCTCAAAATATACTAAAACACTTTTCTAAATCAAATTCATCAGTATTACAGATAAAGAACAATGAGTAAATAGTATAAAATTATACACCGGCTTAATCAGGAAAGGAAGTATTTTTAGAGGAGCAAATATATTTTCTATGAAAAATCAGTACACCACTGCTCAAATACTAGGATCATTCACTAGATCTGGACAGAGTGTAACAATCTACTAATGATCAAAGCATTAATTTAATAGCAAGAATTCCAATACCACATTTCTGCATAAAATGAAATGTAATGTTTTATTTTTATAAAGAATTTATATGAATTTCACTTGAGTTCTTTTTTATAATCATGACCTCTGTTATATTTGTGAGCCATATTAACTGGTACATTAAAAAGCACAGGATACAATCAGACTTAGATTAGTAAGGCTGATAATGCAAATTTGCTAGGCTGAAAGAGTTCTACAGTCCCATGAGGCTGGATAAAGCTCAGGTTTCTGAGCCCACAGTTTCTGATTTATTCAGGTTGGGGGTGGGGCTCATGAATTTGCAACTCTAATAAATTCTCAGATAATGATGACAGGTGGTCAGTGACACATTTAGATCATCAGCAGACTAGACCAAGCTCCACGTTAAGTTGCTTATAAACAGTTGTTAAAGAAGCAGTCAGGGAAACAAGTAGAATCCGAGATGATGAAGGTTCTGGGTATCGGATCATAAAGGAAGGATATCCTGTTATACTTGGCCTGGAGCAGACAAGGCTCATTAAGATTAAGATTAAAAATAAACAGGTGTTTGTCTGCCACATTGATGCTGATGAGTTGGGGATGAGGAAGCAGGGGGAAGGAAGCCAAGCTGAGGGAAAAACAGGGGCACGAGAAAGCAGGTAGAAATCTGAAGGAGAAAAAATTTTTTAAAAGGTGGCAACAAATGAGAATATAGACTAATTATAGAGAATACAGTCATTGTGTTCCATGTGTGTTTATGAAGAAATTGCTAATTTAATACAGCCCTTAAATTTCGGTTGGAGCTGGGAGTGGTTGTGCATGACTGTGATCCCAGCACTCGGGATACTGAGGCAGGAGGATCGCTGTAAGTTTAAGGCCAGCCTGGGCTACATAGTGAATTCAAGGCCAGCCTAAAATACATAGCAAGACCTTGTCTAAAAACAAACAAACAAACAAACAAAAGGCTATGTTGGTGGTAGCTATTATTTATTTGTTATTTATTTCATCTTGTTTGTCTCTATTAAATGCATCGTTTTTTAGGTAGTATGGAGCCTAGTGTAAATGAAGTAAACTCTTGGAGTTTTAATTTTCTTTAAATGCAATTTTGACATCATTTTACTAATTTTGAAACACTATTTTAAAGATGAAATTTTCTCCCCACCCATTGTAATTCTTTCAATCAATAGTATTTGAGCACTTGATACAGACAAGTCCTTGATTTGTAAATGAGAGGTTATTTCAGGACTAATAGTGATCTCTTCCCTTGAATTTCTAGCAGAGGGAAAAGTTACTTACTTGTATAATTTAATTGCCTAACAATATTGTATACAGGAAGTATTGATTCAATCCCTATTAAACCATATGCAATGAAATACTGTATATATATGTATATATTTGCATTTATTATGTATATAAACAGCCCATATTTATGCATATATACATTTGCACAAGTAGTCCATAATTACTATATACCAATTTTTAAATATTTCATACGCCAATAAAATAATATGATATCAGTAAGTTCAATATTTTCTTACCCTCATTCCTTCAAATCTAGATAAGGCTCTTAGAGGCCTTAATGCTCTAAGTGTTCGAAGAGATTTAATGGGCCCAAGGTCTGAATAGCCAAGAGTGCTAGCAACTAAAGTAACCACAGAAACCTGTAAAAAATAACATTTTTGTTAATTATTTCAAAGAAATGATAAAGCATCAAGAGGAAAAATAAATTCCAAAGATCACTAGGAGAAGTTCAACAAGTCAAATGGGCAAGATGGAGGTTTCTGTAACAAAACAGATTTCAAGCAAAGTTAACCAAAACAAGAAGAAATGATAGAAGGAAAGTTATTTATCATATCCAAATAAAACCAATACATATGATTTTCATACTTTTGTAATCAATGGTCACATACTTGCTTACTAAATTTTAAAGTTTAATTAGAGCAGCTAGGAAAACTTCAATTGAAATAAAGCACATGGCACAACAAAATGTGATTCTAAAGCTGCCATAATGTGTGGTATTTACTAAATGTAAGGATGAGTATAAATCTTATTAAGAAGCAGTCTGAAGATTCATGATTTTGAGATGAGGAAAATTTCCAAATAAGATTACTTCTACCTTTCAATTACTCAGGATTGGACCTGTTATTTTTTCAGTCAAAAATATCCCCCCAAAAGGTTCATATGTTCAGAGGTGGGGCTTTTGGAAGATGACTCATCTCTTGATGAGTTCATAGCTGATATGCTGTTAGGAGGTGGGGCCTGCTTAGTAAAGGTGAGCAGCTGGCAGCTTGAGCTGGAAGAGTAAATGCTTGTTCGGCCCCTTCCTGTCTTTCTGCGGGTTCTCCGCTTCTGGCCACCACGAGGTGAGCTGCTTTCCTTGGTCATGCCTTTCTCTCATGCTGTTTCTGCCTTGAGGTGGTGGACAATGGACCCAAACCATTGAAACCCTGAGCCAAACCAAACCAAACCTCTCCTTATTTAAGTTCTAAGTGTCAGGTATTTTGTCCCAGTGATGGAAAGGTGATCAATACAGGCACCAAAGATCTACTTTGTAATAGTTTATGGAAGCAATTCTCAGGTATGTTGAAGAGAGAATGAGATCTGGGGGTCTCACTGGCTTCACAATAAGTGGACATATATAAGAATTTTATCATATTAGGTAGACCAGACACAATGACCATAACTAGTCATCCATCAGAAATTTGTGTTCAAAAAGAATGTGGTCAGGAAAGAAATCGATATAGATTTTGATAAACAAAACAGTGAGTTCAAACTTCAGTGGCCTTAGATTTGGATCTGTAGATGAGTAAGCCACATTTAAAATGTTCATCTGTTTCATAATATGTAGCAGGAGACAAAGTCTAAAAACAATATTTGCACAATATTTGCAATATTTTACTGTGAACTAAGGTAGTGACTAAGAGATTCAAGTTTTCCAGCAAAGACACAGCCTCCTCATATTTAACTTGTAAAATAGTAAAAAAAAATTCAGTGCTCATAAGTTTACTGCTGCTACCATTGGAGACAAGTAAATTGGTTTATGAAGTAGGAGGTATTGATATGATTATTTTCATGTATTTACTTTATAATATTCCACTAAATGTAGCCATACTTTTTTTTTTCCGTTTTAATTCCTTACAACTAGCAGAACTAATGAGACCACTTATTGCTTTTAAATTCATTCAGTCATTCAGGTCCATTATTTTCTATTTAAGTGCACTTAAAACATAAGTATGTTCTCTTTAGTCAATAAAAAATTAGTTTTTAAATATCTGTTACAATTGGATAGCCCATAAGCAAGTAGACTTGTTCTCCTAACAACTGTTATGTAAGTTTTGTGATATTGCATATAATTTATGAATATTATTGAGAAAGCTACAATATAATCTCTTAGCTAAGAATATATACACATCTATATATGCACCTATCTAGCTAACTATGCATATATTTATATATACACAAATATATGTACATATTGATGAATAATGTTAATCAAATAAGTTTAAAATACAGTGGTCAAAAATCCTAATGAAATAATAAGAATACATTCTCTGAATAGCAAATCAAATTAGTGCATGTGAAACTTGAATAAACACTAAAATAACCTGCAAAGCTTGTTACAATAGTTTGCTGGGTCTCTGCATTAGAGTTTCTGATTCTTCTCCTCTTAGAGGAATTCGAAGAATTTACATCATTAATGAGTTTCCACCTACAATCGCCAAGTTTTGGTTCAGAGATCACACTTTGAGAACAAATAGTCTATACAAGCTTCTCAATTTGTGAGAAAAAAAATTCACACCGAGCACAGTGGTGCTCGCCTGTGGTCTTTACTACTTGGAAGACAAGGGAGGAGAATTTAAAATTCTGAGCAATATAGCAAAATGAAACCCTATGGCACAATAGACAAGCAAATAAACGAACAGACTAAGAAATTCAAACCCTTCTTCAAATATGCATCCTTAGATTTTCATTTCTATCAGCAAGAATATTGTGTGGAGTTTTTGTATTATGAAACTTTTACATATGCCTATATATGTCTATATGTTTGTATAAAAAAATGTTAAATAAAATTTCAAATTGAAGATACAGACTCCTCTAACTTCTGCACATTATATACTTCTAAGCAGGATGTTACACATTGAAAATCATCAGTTCAGATATTCAAATATAAAACAATTTCTGTTGTTAAAAGGTCATATCTCTCAGTTTAAAACAAATTCAACTCTACTTGTAATCTTTTGTTTCTTAAGCTGAATGATGAAAACAAGCATTTTTCTGATATTTTGAAAGTTTTTAAGCACCTTAAATATTTTTATACTCTTTAAAAGATCTAATCACATATAAAGATTAAGAGAAAAAATAACACATTCTTTATTTTTCTTCTTATTTTGGTTAGCCTTTCTTTAAAACTACACTATTATCAAAAGTATTAATCATAGCATGTTTTTCCCTAAGTGGTAACTAGATACATAAAAGGTAAATTCAAAATAAAAAATAAGAAATCATTAATGTTAGTTCAAAAATTAGAATTCTTGTAGAGGAGAATTCTACATGTTATATAATGTATAGCTAAACACTGGAAACATATTTTGCACATAATTCACACAAAAAGTAAAAATGATATTACAATTTAATGTTTAATTTATTGTGCTATAAAAACCAGAATTTACTGGGCTTTAAATAACAGCTGAGAAATTGAACTTGAGTAAATATTACTAGTTTTTAAAAATGTTTTTGAAGTTAGATTTTTCTACTAATGATCACGTATATAATTTTCTTATCTCACAAATTTCAGTCATTTGTAGGAAAATGAATAAAGACCACAATACTAAGTGAAATAAATCAGACAGAAAGTTAAATATCTCATGGTTTCTCTTCTGTGAGAAAGCCAAACAGTAAATAGTTTAAAGAGAAAAATAAAAGATAGATTATAGGAAAGAGGGAGGGAGATCTTTTGTTGATGGAAAGGAGACCTAGAAATGGAGGGAAAGCAGAGGGAAAAGAGAGGAATAGGAAGTAAAAAGGAATAAGATGCAATATGTACATTTACCAATTCCCCATAATGAACATACTCATTATGTGACACAATTATGTACCTCTAAAAAACAAAGTAAAAAATAATAATTTTCTTATTCTTATTAGAAAAGTATAATGATGCAAACCTTTGATTAAATGTTAAAGTACTTGGAAGTATAAAAATTTCTATGCTGCTTTCTAATTATTCCAGGCATCAAGTGGAAAACAATTCTCTATGACTATGTTTCTTCCATAATCACAAAAGCTAGATTTCTGAAAATCTAAGAAAATTAGTGAAAGACTGAAGAACACAGCCTGAGAAAAATAAAACTGAAAAATCAAGTGCACAAATTAATTTAAGAAATCTTTTCAAATAATATTAAAAATATATAGAAATATATTATATTATATCATTAAAATACGAGAGTACACTAAATGAAATGAATGGATAATAACTGTAGTTATACCATTACTTTCTATTTGAGAAATTTTGATATGAGGTCTTTTTTTCCAACTATCTCAATGAGAAGCCTGTAAAAGTATTTTTTAAAAAAGAGTACTGGGGATTGAACTCAGGGGGACTCTACCATTTAGCTACATCTCCAGCTCTTTTATTATTATTTTGAGACAGCTTTTCATTATTCAGCAGTATTTTAAATTTATCAGTTGAAATTATTAGTGACTATTTCTGTGCCCCGTTGCCATTCTAGAGATGAAGGGTAGTTGTATGTTTGAGGTAGGGAAAAAAGTTATGACTCATTTTGGTTTTTCCTACAGTAGACTTAGATAAATATTTTGAAATTCTATGCTTTTCCTTCCATTAACATACACTCAGTTTTTCTCTCACTATTTTTATATAAATTTTAGCTCACATATCAGACAACTTGTGTACCCTTATTATCTTTAATCATCTAACTTACATTGTGAAAAATCAGTATTTCCTCTAATTTGAGATCTTTAATCTTTCCTTTTCCATTGCCACCAACTAGGTTTTTTTTTTCACTTTTTAATCTTAACAGGAATGATATTAAAATTATATACTTAAAGAAATCACATATTCTCTGATTGCAGAAAATATATACAAAAGCCTATTATAAATGTTAGAATGATACAGGAGTGAATTCATATTTGTGGAAGGATCTCTGTTCTACTAACCTCACAGACACATTTCCACTTGCTGTAATAATATTTCTAGAAAATACAAACCTATAGCCTAAAAGTACATGAAGTAAAAACTAAATATAACAACATATGACATTGGTGAAGATTTCAAAACACTAAGTAAGAATTATCTTTTAAAATTTACTACAAAATACTATACTTACATCAACAATTAAGAAATCCAGCCAACACCATGCATTGGTGAAATACGTTTTATACCCATATGCCACCCATTTTAAAAGCATTTCCAGGATGAAGATGTAGGTAAATATCTTGTCAGCATACTCCAGGATAATCTTAATGGTCTTTTTTTTTTCAATATATATATCTTCAAAAGCCTATGGGAAAATATTCAAATTTCAATTCATTAAATTTACGATTCATAACAGAATAGGAAATACAATTCTGATAATGAGATCACTGAAATATAATGGTTGTAAGCTAGTTGCATATCTTCTACTGTACAGCCACTCATAACACTAACTTCTAGCCTTTCACTAGTTCTTAAAAAGAAGCAAAGAGATAGAGTGTGAAAGAATGAAATTCTAATCCTTTAATAGTCATGACTCTGATACCTTTGGGGGTTTCCTCTTCATCTAATTCTTCTTTTCTCCCCATTCAAATTGAATGAGAACTACTAATTTAAAACACCATTCCTGGACCAACCATTCTTATAAACCTTTTTTCATCCTACATTGTCCTTCACAACCAACCATAGGGTGTGGAGCATCTCTATTGGTTGTTACAGGCTCGTGCTGCCTGGTGCCTACCACTATGTGGTGAGGAAAGATTTGCTAAATGAATGATTGCAGTAGCTTAATAAGACTATAGGACTCAAGACTGTTTCTTTTAAATTCTGCATCAACTTTTTATCTTTGCCTAAATACTCTACAAATCACTGCTAAATTCACTTCACAAATGTGGTCCATATAGTAAATGACAGACAGTGATATTATAGCTATAGCCATAAATCTGTTGGGAAATAATCTGAATGGATTTAAAGAACTGAGCTCTCTGAGACAGTGAAAATGAGCACTGATCTAAATAGGTACAACCTAGCAGAATTTCCTATTTTAGGCTGAAACACTATTCATCTTTTGGAAAGTAATGCACGCGAAAGGACCTGTGTCCTTGGTGGTTAACATCGCATTACTTGTCCAGGGGGATGGGTTTGTGCCATTTTCATTTTTTTCCCCAAGTTTTGCTATCTATATTTAAAAAATTATCTTGTGTACTTTTATAAACTATCAACACTAATATTACACACAAAGAAGAAAAAAAAACAGAAGTTGGGGCAGAAAAAATGGTAGAATCTACTAAAATGCACAAAGACAGCACCAAGATGAGGTCCTGAATGCCAGCTGACACTGAAGTGCAGGGGAAGGCTTCTAGCCATCAGGACTTTCCTATCCCTTTCTCCAAGGTCTAGAGCAATCAGGCAAGCCACCTAAAGATAAAAATATGGCAATAACACATTTTTAAATAACAAAAATAAGGAAGTGACTTAGTCATAACGAAGCCTTATGCCAGAACTGTGGTATAGGCTTACAGCATTACCATCATTGAGTCTTCATGGTGAAACTCAGATACCCTGTTGAGTAAACCTCTTGGGACTTGTTCCAGAGCTTGAAAAAGACCTCAGCTGCAGGGAGACTTAGCTCCCAGGACTGTTTGCTGGATGTGGGAGATATCAGACAAAGATGCCATTATGTGAGCTCTACCTGATTTGGGGGTTAGCTTTATTGTTACTCATTTCAGTTTCACACATTCTTTCTTTTTGGCATTTTCTCCTCTTTTAAACTGAAATATAGGATGTTAGCCCCTATTAAAGTTATTTCTGTCATTTACTATTATGCAACATTTTACACTCTATTCAGCTTCTTTATTGGTAATTAAAACGAATGCCAAAATTTCACAGGGATGTTTGAAAATTAAACTGAAAAATCAGTACAAAAGTTTGAAATAGAACACATATGTACCAAATGATAGCTATTCCTTTTTATTTTGTAGACAGGTATTTTATTTTTATTTTTTAAATTAACGGACTTTTTAAAGAAAGAGCTGTTTTAAGTTTGGAGAAAACTGAGTGGAAAGTACAAAGGTAGGTATTTTTGGAATCTAATTTAGTTGCCAAACTCCCTGAGAGAAAACCTCAACTTTCCAGAATCCCTTTTCCCATTTCTTTTGAATTGTAGTTTTGAGAGTGCCCTTCCAAAAAAAAGCCATGCTTTGTTAAAGACAGTTTGAACAAGTTATTACTATTTGTTAAGTTTTAAAATTTCCTCTCAGATATATGACTCAGCATGGAATAAATGTTGAATATTAGGAATGCAAGACATTATAGGCAATATTAAGAGTCCTACTTGCACAAGACAAATAGTGTTTTTCTTATTACGTTGTGTTGCTGAGCGATGAGATTTGTCTTGACAGGCAACTCACTGTGGGACCTATATCCTCTATAAGTCCCTGCTAGGTATGCTGGGAATGCAAGGCCCTGACTGCTCTTCACCTGAGCCATTCCTCAGGGTTGTGTTTGTAGCAGGCCATCTTGAGAGATGAGATAGTGTTTTCCTCTGGGACAAAAATCACTTGCTTACAGCTTGGAAAAAGGATGGTTTCTTTAAACTCAGTGTTCCTCACCTGTGACATTAACTTTAGAATTGTGCAGCATTCATCCAGCCCCACATTGCATCCTCCTGGGGCCTGGGCACAGGGGAAGCAACACTGACATGTTTAAGGGCAAGGTACCTTATACACCATAAATAATGAAGTCCTTTATCTCTGACCGAGGCAGCTCATATCCTTGGTCAGAATTTATGAAATAACAACAGTTTAACATATCAGCCTATGAGTTGAGAAAATCAAATTCCAGATACATGGTGAAAACTGGCTATGAGGCAATTTATAAAGTTATTTACTATCTGTTTTTAGTATAATGAAACTTCCAGTAACATTTCTAGCTGGATTTGGGCTCCTACTGGCTTCTAATGGCTCCTCTCTGTTAGCATCAACAGAAAAGTATAACAATTTTTAAAAGGCTTTGGGTGGTTTTAGCTTTCTCAGATCCTTTTAAATCTCTGTAGAAGATCCTTGTGAGATTTTCTGCTGCCAGGTTAACACAGAGTCAGGGTTGTACAAGAATGAGAAATTTGTTCCATTCTCATCCTAAAACTGTCATCTATTTTACAAAAACCTCCAAGCTGCTTCATGAGCTGAGTCTATGTATCTTTCTCACAATATCTCTGGCCAGGTATACTTGCTCTTCCTCCCACAGCCTTCTCTGCAGCTCAGCAACACACAACTTCCTGAATATTTCATGTTGTTTGATGCTTCCTTGCCATCATGCAACTGGCCCCCTCAGCCCCAGTGCCTGGCTGAAAAATGTCTTTTCTTTCTAGACCTTGCAAAGCATCATCTGCCATTCCAAAATCACAAGAGGACAATTGTGCACTTTGTTACAGAGCATTATGTGTACACTTAACTTACAAATGTGTTACAGCTCCATAATCACTGTCTTCACCTGTCTCTTCCCATTACTCTCTTAGCTCCAAAGAACAGTACTTGGATTTTATCTGTCCTTGTATTCTGGACAGCAGCAATAAAGCCTGGCATGCAGGAGTGCTCAGGAAATGTTCACTGAGCTCATCTGAAATTTTGTCGTTGATAATCACGGGGATTAATTCTTAAGTAAAACAATCTATCGTGATTTTTTTTTTACTTTCTAGCTTATTTATTAAATATACCAACAATCAGTTTATTGACTTAAGTATCACTTACCAAAAGCTCCACTTACCAAGGCTCCACTGCTCAGCAGGATCATGAGAACAATGAAGCTTTCAAACCAACTGTGTTCAACTATCCTGTAGCAGGTTTTCCTGATGTTCCACCAGATTTTTCCTTTCCCTGACTCTATGCTAACCTGGCAGCATGGGAATCTCCGAACACAACCTGGCAAGAAAGACTCACATGTAAAATCTTGATGGTCAGAATAAACAAAATGCTTAAACTGTATTATTTAATGGAAAGTTTTCTCTGTGATACTCCCGTAAGCAAATAATTTCTAACACATTCCCTTGCAGTTTCAGATTTATTTTGGTTGTCACTTTCTTTCATTTTCTAACTTCAATGGTTTCTGTCTTAAAACTTTCTGGTTATTTTTAACCTGGAATGTATTACTATTCTCCATTCTTCCCTGATTTCTCCTCAATCTCTTCCACATTGCTTAAATCACTTATATTTGATGAACAAATAAATGAATGAATGATTTAAACTCAGGGAAAAATGCATTTTGGTATTTTCTTTGTTGACAGATTTTCCTGGATGTGGATCTAGAATACAATTTGAGATGCTTCCTTTCCTCTATTAAAAACTTTCTGAGAAATGTCATCATAAACAATATCATGAAATTTAGTAGAAGCTCCTAAAATTAAGTTTCAAAGAAATACATCTTCATTAAAAGATACAAATGAAGCTGTTTTGAGTGCTCTCTAAATTAAAAGCAAATCTTAGCTGGGACTTCTAGGTATAAAATATATTACATAAAAAAATGAAAAATTTTGTAAAAATGTTTTGGTTATGCATTAATTCATTTGTTCATTTGTCCAATAAACATTTATTAAATATTTTCTCTGAGGCCTGTATGTAGTTTCCTCTCCTCAGGGAATTTATTTTTGCTTTTGGTTAAGTAGAAAGATACAGAAATAAATGACTACAACTGGAAAAGGCCACAAAAATGGCAAATGTGTAAAAGGGATTTTGGTGGCCTGGGAGGAAACTCACTTAAAATGATTATATTGAGAAGAACACAAAGGAGGCTTCCTGGAAAAGGTGGAGACTGAACTGAATCCAAGTATCAGTAACAAAAATAAGCCTGGGAAGAATTCCAAGTCAAGAGGACAGCAAAAAACATGATATATGTGATGCACAATCAGCTTCTAGTAATGATGAGAGCAGAATGTACATGAGAGGCAAGGGTGAAAGAGGTTAGAGAAATTGGTCAGATTATGGAAAGCATTTACCCTACTTTGAAGAGTTTGGTCTGTATCCTATAGAGATGAGGAGCAAGAGTTGTAAGCTGAGAATGAATGGGGAGGTCGCAATTTAAACAGTGTTTGGGGATAGGTTAGAAGGGTGGGGGCCATTCTGGGTTCCGATACAGCACCCCCGTCAAGTGAGACAGATTCGGTTAATTTCAGTTAGGAGCTAAAGCATTAACAGGTGATAGATATAGCTGTCAGGTAAAATCAGCAGAATTTGGTGACTGGTGTCAGTATGTGAACTGAAGGCCATAAAAGTAAGGGGTGACTTGGGAACTGATGAATTTGAAATGGCTGAAAAATTTCTGAACATAGATGTTCTATAGACATTTGGAGATGTGAATCTAAAAGTCAGGAGAAAACGTGTCTAGAAGAGAAATATGTAAAAATTAATAGCATGTATGTGTCAGCTGAGCTCAGGATAGTTTTTTGAAGTCATACAAATGAAGTATTTAGAATAAAGAGAACAGAGTCAAGTCCAGAACCTTCTGGAACTACAATATTACAGGACAAAATTCAGTGGAGCGAGAACCAGCCCAAATTGTTTCATGTTTACTTAGTATTAGGTTGTCAGGAAGTTTTGGTAGTTTGTTGTTTAATGCAGCTATTATTAGAAATTAAATCACATAAATCTGGAATTCAATAATGTACTTTAAGAAGGTAATAAATACTAAAAACTCATTCTTTTCTAATTAATGTGCTCCTATTTCATTCTCATCTATGCTCTTGAGGAACTCTATGTCTATTCTATCGGGATGATGGAAATATGTTATACTAATTGGCTACTATGAATCTCCTCTGAACTCCACACTCAGCAGTCACAGTAGTTATTCTGAAAGCAGGCATTTTCACTTTAAAAAATTTAAGATTATTTTGGAGATAAAACAGATACACAGTAAAAATGTGTCATGTTCAGAGCCATTACATTGTGAACACCACAAATAATTGACAAATTGTTATTTCATTATTCAAACTCTATAATCTGATTAACAAAAACCATGCTAATCATTAATGCATAAAAGAAGTTCTGACATAGAGTTTCCTTATTTCTTTCTTATTGCACTAAGGTAAGTGAAAATACCAGACAACCTTGATGTTAAAACTATGGTTGCTCATCAAGTGCAATTACAAATTGTCTATAAATACAAAAAAATTGGCAAAATTCAACAGAAGCATAGCTGAAGAAATGTGCAATGTATAATAAAGTATATTGCAAATAATTTTATTTATAAGTTGTGTACCACACGTTGCTCATATCAGCAGTATTTATAATAAAATAATATATGTGTGTATACTTTCTTTTTCTTGGAGAACCAGTAGTTAAACCTGCACACTAATGGGACAGATGGAAGAAGAGAAAATTTGAATGAGAAGGAGACAGAGTAGGAGGGATGAGAGATTTACACATAGACCTAAGAGGCTGTGGTAAAGAGAGGTCAGGGAGTAAGAAGTTTCTCAGGGGAGAAGGGAACATAATCACGAATATGAGAAGCACAGGAAGATCATGATTGGGAAACATAAAATTCACAGTTTAAAAAATGTAAGTGGATTAAATAATAACAAGAATTCTTTGCAGAAAAGGAACAGTTTAAAAAGAGTAACTAGAAATACTTCCCCTCTTATAAAACTTGAGATGAAATGATTCATTTTAGATAGAGGTAGCGGATGGGAGGGGAAGAAGGAGCAGCACTGCTCTGATATCTGGTTTAGAAATTTTCATTTTAGGGACTTTAAAAGAATTAATGTTTTTTCCTCTAAAATGATACATTTAATTAAAAAATATTGAACCATTCAAGCAAAAATGCCAGGTGATAATAAGCTGTATGTCCTGAAACAATAAAACAAAAATTCTCTTGCTGCATTACTCCTGTCAGGCAGTGTCTTCTTACGGCTTTTTTCATGTTTCTGAGGGGAAAGTAGTGCATTGATCCACTTGATGTGAGGTATTTCCTAGCACTTTCCTTTCCTCCTTTGTAGAAATACAGCAAGCTATCTCCCCGCACTGCACCTCCACCATTAAAGTCTCTGGTGGCTTTGGCTATCATGTATTTTTTATGTGTTCCTGTCCTTTCTCTCCAGAAGGCTTTAAGTTCCCAGAGGGCTAAAACATTCTGTTATGCCCTTTCTTTCTGCTCACAGTATTCTCTATGGTCCTGTAGATGGCTTAATATGCTGTGTGTCCTTTATTTTCAAAAGACTTAATACCTTGGAAAAGAATGTTATTATTATCTAAGCATTTTAATCACAACTGAATTTAATCACAATTGAAAAGATCTGTGAATTCTACAACTGGCACAAAGATTAGATGGAAACCAAATTAATGGAAAATACACATTTAACTTCATTTATCCATTGAAAAGGACAGTTAACATAATCTCAGAACAGACAGGATTTTCCATCATTGTACTCAAAATAATTACTCTTTTTCTCAAGTACATTTATTTAAGTGAGAACATTTCACAAAATGACAAAAAAACATAGTGAAAAATAAAGTAAAAAAATTAACACCTAGGTAATCTCTTTTGCGAAAAAAAAAAAAACACCTGAAAAACTTGAGATAGAATTTTAAAAATAAAAACGTAAAACTTCAGAATTCTGTAAACTTAAAGATCAAATGCAGAACAGAAAGAAAATTATTCTTTGGAAGATTTTACCTTGTAGGATTTATTTTTGTCAATTTTTAAATTTTATTGGTACATTTTAGATATACAATATAATGACATTCATAATTGGAAATTTGCACCTTTACATAATCTCTCTTGGTTCTTATTTTTGCCCCATTCCCTTGCCCTCCCTTCAACCCCTCCATCCCTCCCTATTTACAAAGACTTTGTTTCCATTTTTTCATTTTCTCATATTAATTCCATTCCCTTCTTATTTTTCTCAATTTTTAAAAGGAAGAGAAACATTATTCTTATGACTGAGGAAAGAAAGAAAAATACTGTGTATTGTAATTACAAAAGCAAAGGAAAACTTTATCTATGACAAAGTTTCATAAATATTGCCCTCAGGGTTTATCACACCTTGGAGAGTTTTTCTCTCTTATTTTGAGGCATGAGTGCTCAGTCGCCTGTCTGGCTTTTATGCAAAGGTATATCCCAAGAGATTTCCAACCTAACTAGTTAGCAACGTTATCACAGGATCCTTTTAAAAAGACCAGTAATTAAATGTAAACAGAACACAGAAATTCTCAAACAATTCTAATGAGTCTCAGTGGGGCTGTGTCTTTTGGGTGGTTTCATTAATTTGCTCTCGTGATGTATTACATATAGTCTGTGCTGGGTTTCATCATGTTAAACCAATGCTCTCAAATGAAAAAGAACCTATTCAACTCTTCAAAGGCAGACCACCCATTAATAAAAATATGAGTATGATCAGAAAAATAGGTATAAAAACTGATTAGGAAAAGAAGCTTTTTTCCACTGTTTCCTTAAAATGCCTACATTTTCTAAAATAAACGTTTTATTTACATTCCCTCCAAAAGGGGAAAAGAAGACAGGAGTTCTTTGTTCTATTATTGTCAGAATTAGTTATTAGTTATTTCATAGGAAGTTGAACTCAAAACATTATTTTGGAGATGAGTTCTCTTCCTAAGAAATTATCAGAAAATAACAGTATTTTAAGGAAAATAGGTTATTCTTCACCTCAAATTCATGTAACTTACTAATTGTGTGATCCAAAAAGAGTCCAATATAAAAATAGGTAGAATCAAGGAATCATGTTATATTCATGATTATGCAGGTTATGATGACATGAAAAATTAAGGATAGTAAAGAAGCATTTAGGACATAGGAAAGACGTTTGATGTCTTGAATTACAAAACAATAGAACATACCTAAGGAAGACATGGCGCAAAAGGGAGAGGAAAAGGGAGTAAGAGGAACAAGATGCAATGTGACCACCTCTCAAAAAAAAAAAAAAGATGCAATGTGACCCATAAAACACATTAGTAAGGTGAGAGTTATGAACTGAATAGGATCAGTGAAAGTGAGGTAATGAACATCAAAAGCATTTTACCATTTATCTTCAGGGAAAGCACAATATTCCAATTTAACTGTTTCTCTTACTTCCTTTGATACTTTTGGTTCCTTTCTGGTATCAAAAATCTCTGCAGTCAAAATGCTACTTTTAACATTGGTTATACCTCAGGTCTGGTAGATGAACAATGAATTTGTAAGTCATCTCCATGTAAGTGAACAAGTTCACAATTTCCCACCTTGAAAATCCTACTGTTCTCTAAGTTTTAGTTTCTGAGTTCCTAATATGTAGACCTCATATCCAGTGAATCTTTGAATCCCTTCAGCTATAACTTCAAAATATCCTCAGAATCTCATAATTTAACAAGCCCCCATTGTACCTCAGTAGTCTAAGCTACATCACCTCTCACCTGGTTTACTGCAGAAAACTGCAGGACATCACCCAGCTTTCTGCCAGCCACTCTTAAACTTACATGTTGTGAAACTTACAAACCATATCCTGATGGTTTCCTTCAAAGCTCTTATGATTTGGCCTCTACTTTATCTCTGACCTCAACTTTTATTAACCTCCCTGTCTCTCAGTCTGAATCATCCATACCTAGACTCTCAATTTTTCTTCAAATGTTACAAATACCTTCGCCTCTCAGTAGTGGCTTTTGTACTTCGCCTAAAATACTTTTGCTTCACATATTTGTAGGCCCATTTCTGTTTTCTTCAGGTCTTTGGTCAGATGCCACTATATATTTTTTTTTTCTTTTTTTTTGGTACCAGGGATAGAACTCGGGTCCTTGAGCTTGCGCAGCAGGCAGCGAAACCACTGAGGTAAATCCCTGGCCCTAGATGCCACTATATTAAAAGGCCTTCTTGACCTCTAGAGCCACCATGTTTATATGATAGCAAGCTCTGCCCCTCTTTCCTTCCTCCCTCATCCTTAGTACTCAACCTTAACTTTTATCTTTTCTATATTTACCGGTTTATTTGGGTAAGGAACACTGTGGTTTGTGTGGCTTGTTTTGTTTTGCTTTTGCACACCACTATCTTCTTCCAGTGCCAAGAACTGGACATGACTCTAGAAGGTGTTTATTAATTATTTGCTCGTTCAATGATGAAATGAATAAATGGTTGAAAGTTAAGAGTGAATTGGCTGTTCTGGTGAATTTATCAGGTAGAGTCTCTTAAACCAACAGGTCTGGTGATTGTGTAACGTCTCCAATGGAACAAATCAAAGCACTGTGACTCTGAGATATGTCCTCTCAGTCATTTTTCAAAGGTTCAGAACAAGGTCCATATGAAAATATGTTTCCATATCATACCTTACACTGGCCTCACTTTATAAATTATGAATAATCTCAAACTAACCACAAAAGTATTTTCATTGATATTTGATAGGATTAAAATAACCTTTGAAAAGTTCTGTCTCAATAAGACAGCACTTGCAGTTGTAAATCATATAGTGCTAATACTATTTGTAGAAGTTTAAAGTTTTTCTAGCACCCTATTTTGATTTGGAGCCTTAATTTCTTTGTTAAGCCTAACTTCCTTCTGGTTACACTAAACTAAGTAAGGAGCACTCATAAAATGTGTAGGGGAAATTTTGGTAATGTCACAAACACACTGTTATAAATTGCTCATCAATTTGTTGAGAAGTGGGGCATGTATTTGGGTGAAATCTTAAATATTTCTAACATTAGAACTTCTAAGGGCAACCCTATGGGCTTTGCTTACAGCACTAATTTCAGGAAATGCAAAAATTGTCAACTAGGTGTCATACTTCATGATTTCTCACATAAAATATTGAGTGTATATTTAAAGAAAATCCATGCACTCATGGTAGTTTGTAGAAATCTTTATTTTCCCAATCACTTTGCTTAATGCATGAGTGTTTTAGAAACTCTCTCGGGAAAATCTTGGAGACCAAAAGCAAGTCAATGATTCCTGCAAAAATAATGCTGAAGTTAAGCCCATAAGCAGATAGTGAGTCATTAGAATCAATGCTAGCACAACCTCTACACAGAGTTGTTAAGAAAAAAACCCTGAAAAACGGCAAGAAAAGTAGAAAGAAAAGGAATCTAGGTATTGTGCTAATTAATTAACAAGTATTATTTTATTTGATCTCCTTAACATTTCCATGACGTGAATGTTGTTATTATCCCCATTTTAAAGATGAGCCATCTGAGTAACCTACTTAAAATCATGTTTACTGTCTCAAGGATGCTTAGTAGTAAGCCAATTAAAATGTAATGTTTATTAGGATCAAAGTTTATACTCCACGAGGGCCAGGGATTTAGCTCAGTGGTCCACTGCCTGCCTCGCAAGCACAAGGACCCTAGTTCGATCCCCGGTACCAAAACAAACAAAACAAAGTTAATACTCCATGCCATTGTGTTACACTGCAATCCTATTCTAGGTTTGTCTGTTTTACTTAGATGATACAACAATTGTTCAGATAATGCTACACTCTTTTCTAAGTCAAGCCCAAAGTTGCTACTTTGACCTTCCAATAACATTCCTGGTAAATTTCAGAAATACTAGAAAGTTCCATATGGCAGAAGGTAAAAAGTAGTAGGACAGTTATTGTTTAAAAACAATAGATTTAAACCACTGTAGTGGCAAGTGACAGATCTTCAGATTTTATCTTATAGATCAAATTTTCTCACATTTTAGCTTAAAGCAGAATCCTCTGGAGCACCTGGACTCTGTTCCAAGAGTTTTTAATGGACTAATAACTAGAAGTGAGGGCTTTTTAAAGTTTCTAGTTTAAGAGGCACAGTAGTCATGTTGGTACTAAATGAGATAAAGACTATTACCAAATGAGATAAAGCTGTAGATTATATGAGGGAGATCACATTAAAGTTTGTTGTAAACTTATTAAATGAGATTATTTAAGACAATAGGTAGAAATGACCAATAATATCTTGCAGTCAGATCTAGAATTCAAGAATTGGATCAGGGTTGGAGAAATTGAAATAGCACAGAAATGGTTGTACAGGCTTTGCACATGGATGAAAAGTCTCGCGCCTTCAGAGGAGGAAAAATAACCATGTATCAAAATTGTGGAGATATATTTTTTATATATGTAGAAAATAAATGGGAGAAGGACCTCAGAGCTCTCAAAGAAATGGAAGAACAATGTAGCACCCTACATTGGCCTCTGAAACCAAGGGAAGGAAGAATTTTGAGATAGACTGTAATCAACAGTATAACAAGGTTAACCAAGCATTAGGAAATGTCTTCAATTGCTTGTTGAAAAAGACAATAGTACCATCTATCTCATCAGCTTGAATTCTAGTGGCTCCATGATGTTGACAATATGAATTAAGGATCTTAAATTAGAAGTCTGAATGTATTACAGTAGTAAGTGCTTTATAGCATAATGCACTCATTAGAAATCTTTAATGGAGTATCATAGGCATGGGAACTAAAGCTCAGAGACCACCAATGACTTCTCCTTAGTCATACAGCTGGGGCTGAATCACCATGAATGGAGGCTTTTGACTTGTTGGTAAATAACTCTCTTATGGTTTAAATCTGAAGTACCATCACTAGGGGCATGACTTAAAAGTATATATTTTTTCCTGCCTACTGTGCCCCTCCACCATACCAGCTTTGGAGCCAGAGAACCATAGATGAAATTGTGAGCCAAAATAAGCCTCTCCTCCTTTAAGTTGTGTGTCATGTATTTTTCCCAGTGACAGGAAAGCTGACTAATACATCTCTAGATAGTATTCTATATTAAGACAAGACTCAAAAAACACAAATAAATGGTAGTGTTTCAGTTTTTCTCTTACCATCTGTAAAGCAGGCTTCTGGCTCATCTGAATTCACAGGTTCAGACTCTGCTTCTTCTCCTTCTCCTGGCACAGGGTTATCAACTGTGCTGCACTCAGAGGAACTTGATCGGTTCAATCTCTAAAAAAGAAATTCACCACCCCCACCAGACATATCACTTAGGGTTCACACAAATCTGACATTTAAATCTAACTTAATAATAAGTCATGCAAAATGTTATGAACGAAGTTTAACAGTATGATGACCATAAAAATGTATAAACACATGTTGAGGCCAAGTAACCTTACAATGCATCTGTACTTGATCTTTCTATCTACATATCCTGTGAAAACTAAATTTTACTTTTAAGATGCTAACAAGCATTTAGGCAAAATTGACTAATAGGGATATTTTACAGTAGTGGGCACATTTTATTATTGTACCTTAATACAGATTTATGTACAATTATTATTTTTAGACAACCATGACTCCATAGCAACAATAAACAAGTGCTGAATTGCCAACATTAGATAATTAAAAGTCATTTGCATAAAAAGCTTTTCAATAAAATTTTTTAAAACATCCAAACATTAGGATGATATAGATAGAAGTTCTTTAAACAAGACCAGAATAATGATACATTGTATTGTAATCAATATGTGAAAGACCACACCAATGCCACTTGTTTTAGTCTAAAATAGTAGAAAAGGTGATAAAGTATTTACAAGATGAAGAGAGCACTAACAGGAACACACATGCAAACTCTGAAATAAAGATTCAATGAAATTAAACATGGCAGCCTTACACATGGGGGCAATGAGCTCATTGTCATTATGATCATATAAGTGATCATAACACAAACAAGTTTCACCCGGAATTCTATGATCAAACATGATGTGCACACATACACAGGAATTTTTAAAGAAAGTACATACAGTAATTGTTGTAAAACTCTGTGAATTTTTCCTAATACTTTTTTTTTTAATAAAGGAGGAGTGGGGCAGCACATCATGGAGAGTTCATTTTTCATTCTCATTTGCTGAACATATGAATATGGAAAACTACTATTTATTGCAACACATCCTTCTCTTGTTAAGATTACAGTTTTATTTTTTTTTGTAGTCTAGCTCAAGCAAATGCAAGTGCTAAAATATGGAAATACTCATTTTGATTAAACTGATTCTTGAATCTATAAATTTGTATTAAAATTACAGGCTCAATATAAAGTGTTCATTTTTAGAAATCGACTTAGAACCCAGAAATCAGTATCACATTAAATTCATAGTACTACTATTATGCCACATACACTGTAAAAATGGCAATGACAGTGCATTATACATAAGGAATGATATAAACGGATGAGGTCTGAGTAAAGAATTACGAACATCCTTATATTAAATGAAATCTCCTACCTTCTATTGACTTCTTATAGGCCCGAGGATTTGTTAATAGTGTCAATTATGAATAGCATCAATATAAAATCTCATTTAAAAGCAGGTTACTTACACAAAATTACTTAAAAAAAAGGCAAGTAAATAGAAATTAATTATAACTGAATATATCCTGTGAGACTTAAGGTCTCAAATTGTACATGATTCTAGGGAACAATATTAAGAAAACTTGCAAGTATTAATATTTTATATTGTGCCAATTGCCTCAAAAACCAATGTTAAGTACCATATTTTTTGAAAAAACTGGGATTATGTGATGGGTTCAAATCGTGACATTTCAGTAAGAAAACTGTCACGAAGAAACTGGCAATATGCTTCTATGTAAATGAGACCAAGTCCTGCAACCCTGGAAAAAGAATTATTACCCTGTATCATGATGCTAAAGAATGGAAAAATTTGATAGAAAGAATAAAAGCACCAACCTACTATTAGCCAAAATATTCACAATTACAAATCTTTGTAATATCTTTTTCTTACTAATAATTTTTAAATAAAGTGATTCTTATTGGCTCACTCTGACAGCACAAATTAATGAAAGCATATTTAATATCAGTATTTGATTTTCTCAGTGTTTCAAAAAATACTTGCCAAGAAGATTTACGGTAGAGTATCAAGAAGTAAGGTAGAGGGCAAAGAGGGTGAGCCGGTCCCAGCACCCTGAAGGAAGCTCCCTGCCTCCAACCCAGGCTCCTAGGGCAGTGAAGCTCAACCAGTCCCAGCACCCAGAAGGAAGATCCCTGCCTCCATCTCAGGCTCCTAGGGCAGAGAAGCTGAGCCAGTCCCAGCACCCGGAAGGAAGCTCCCCCACCGCCATCCCAAGCTCCTAGGGCAGAGGTGAGATGTGTGGGTGCCAGAAGCTCA